ATTGGAAATAAGCTAGTAAGCTAGAGATGGTGTGATGCACGAAACAACAACCCCGAAAAACGGACCCTAGAACCTTCGAGATCACTTCCTTGCCCGTTGATTTCAGCATTTATGCGGCTCATCGGCGCTGCCCTCTTCAATGCTTAAGTTCCCTCCGCTAGACCGCTAGAGGCTCAGACAACGACAGGGGCGGACCGCGTCAAAAGCGCGCTAATAGCGGCGCGGGGAAGGCCATGCTGGATCGCCGGGGCGCGAATTGCGTGTCCGTCCTCCTCCGCTATATCTTAAAGTTTCCCCGTCTTTCAATTGTCCATTTTTATCGTGGATGTACCTTTTATTGAGGGGGAAACCACAATTTTTGCCAAAAAATCATACAATCGATTTACTGAAGAGGACGATTGTATGCGTAAATAATCGAATATTTTCAAAATAAGAGCGGCAGTGGTGTAGTGGCAAGTGGCACGCTTACCACGCGAGCGGTCCGGGGATCAAATCCTGGTCGTTGAGCGGTCCGGGGATCAAATCCTGGGTCGTGAGTCGCCCGGGCCAACCAAGCCTTCCATCCCTCCGGGGTCGGTTAATTGGTACCAGACTTGTCTGGGAGGATAAAAACACTGACTTGTACATCGGCTGGCCCCCGCAAGTCATTGTATAGGCCACATCGCATTCAAACGCCGAATGTACAAATGGAAGTAGAATGCGTGCCGCATCCCAAAAAGGGATTGATCAACGGCAAATGCTTTATCCTTTTTATCCTTTTATTCAAATAAGTAACGCTATCTGTTTTCTGCACTTTTCGCCTCGATCCCAATAGAAACACCTGCCAGAGACTGTCAGGGATAAATATCGCGATGCGATTGTTTTGTAACAGAGCATGTGCTACCAGAACCCTATTCATATCCCCTGGTCGGGGTGTTACATATAATAACCGGGTCTCCGTTGTGTCTCACAGACAATAAGGTTCGGCAGCTCATAACGGCCGCGCAACCACTTCCGGTCATCCTTCATGAATAATCACGATTATTGGTCGTTGCGAGAGGAGCAGAGGAACGGGTCGAGGGGAGAGAGGATGGGTAGAGGAAATGGGATAGAATAACAGCAAAGCCGATTTTGAAAGCACCCCTTTGCCTGGTTTTGGGAAATGAAGCCGTTTACCATGACGGCTACCACGAGCGTGGAGAATGGATGACCTTTTATTATTCCACGATATTCAATTAGTTCAAGGGAGGCCGCGGGCAAATAAATATATTGAAATTACCCCATGATCTGTCGGAATCCCACAAAAATCGATGAATTCCATTAATGTTTTCTAAAAAGAGGATGTATTACATCACTTCGTGGGAATCCTATCCTCAGAGAAAACTTCCTAGAAACCGCTCCGATGTACTTCGAGAACTTTTTTCTTCGGTTGTTGTAGTACAAATTTCCATCTGCTCGGGGCCTTTGTTTGTTTTTATTTGTTCACTGACTCATTCATTATTGCGAAAGCCATTGCCATCACCTGCCATCCGCAATTCATCGAATTTTCACTCAAATTTGAAGTCAAAGCTCAAATAAAGAGGGCTTAAAAGTTCATTGAGAATTAATACTTCCTCCTCCAAGCGGTCCTAATCGCCTCTCAAAGACTTTTCCGCCATTGATTGCGCTGGAATTCTTGAAAATGATGCAGCATTGGCGTTCGTCGTTCTCGGACGCGGTTTTTTACGGCCTCTTGGGACCACTTAGCTTTTTCTTTCTCGGCCATTCTAGCATAATTGTCACTGATAGCGGCTATGCCTCGGAATCGGGGCTCTCCAGATTAGAGACGATTGACTAACCACCCTTCATGGTCTCATTCGGCTTTCGGTTACCCCTCCCCGATTCGTATCCGTGAAAGCAGGCAATGGTGAAGCTTCGAGTCGATCGCCCGTCCAGCACATCTCGTCTTTCCCGAACGGAGCTCTCGAATTTCACCCGAAAAATCGCGTCCATCGATGCTTGAGCGGATATCGGGCGATTATGGAGGCGCCTACGGTATCGCTTTGCCCAAGCCGACGTGTCGCTTTCAGTCGCAGCTAATGATTGGATAGAGGGAGCCTCGGCTGTCACTTCCTGTAACATGCATGACTAGTTCATATTATCGCCATTCATTCGTGAGCCATTGTAAAAAAGCTACCGAAGCACTTTTATCTTTTGCTTTGTGAATGAACGAATACTTATTAAATCTCGCCCTGCCTGTGTGACGTCGAAGCTCTCGTCGACGCCTGTTCATCGGGAAAATGTATCTCTAACTTCATTTCATTCGAACTCCGCCCCTCTAAAATCCATACCCAACTCCTTACCTCCGCAGGGCTGTAAAGTTTTGAAACAGGTCAGCTGGTCGGTGTGGGTTTTTATAGGACATGTGAAGTCGGAGAGGAAAATGTGGTACCAGAACAACCTATAGATTTCTGACTGTGACAGGTCCACTGCAGTTTCGGTCGGGGAGGAAGTCCAGAGATCTCTTCAAATTGCCTCAAATGGACGTCTCGGTGTCATTTGCCACATATGCCCCAGATGAGACCGGATTCCGTTGGTTTTTCTCACAGCAGTGCCGCTGTCCTCACGACGTGGACGAGTTCGTATGATTTGAAACAAGACTCGCCTAGAAAAACGACCTCGTTTTTCTGATTCGTTACCAGCTGTGCCGAGTTTGAGGCTACATCGAGCGAATCCTCGTACGCCAACTGAATCATTAATTGGCCACAAAGAGAGCAAAGGCATGGACGCCAATTGACTCTCGCGCTCCATTAATTCGTGACTTTTACAGCCCATCAAATTGAGCTCGCCAAGCGCATTTCGCTATCGGCCGATCGCTATACTGGTATGTGGATTTACATACATACTTAGGTAGGGGTACACATACGGGGATTAGCATTTGCATAATTCAGTGGTAGCGGCAACACCGACTGGTCGGAATCAGTCACATGAGCCGTCCCACCTCACCATCCATCCTTTCATTCACCACGCATCTGATCGTGCAGTGTTCCAAGGCTTTTTCTCTGTTCAGCCTGATCAGATAGAGTTAGTCCAGGAGTTCTCTGGCCAGGAATACCTCAATTATGCATGCGTTGGCGGCTCAAGTATTACAGCTGTAGCGCATATGTTTGACTGATTTCGCCACAGGGCCCGCGGGTAACCACGGAGATAAACCGGATGGACCCGGGTCAAGCATTATATAGCGCGGAGTTTGAGCGCTGCGCTTGACACGTTGGCAGCAACAGCTGCAACACTCCCTCTCACCTTGTCGTCGGCAGCGAGCCGTACACAAAGAGCCATTACGTGTGTCTTCTCAGAGCTATCGTGAACCCATTATGGAAATCCCTTCGGAACGGCGCCCCGAGAACGTGCTTCCTACGGGGCAGCCGGCTTGTTTGCCTTCCCGACATGGCATCTCATCACTGTCAGCTTATTTAGCATGGAGGAAGGCCCGTTGTTTCCGCGATTACTCGTCCGAGCGGAATAATCATTACCTCGGAAGCATTGTTACGCGCGAGCACGGAGCGATGCATAATTGCGTTATCCGTGCGCGCGCGCTAAAAATCTCTCTGGAATTTGTGTCTCTCCTTCGCGTGGGGCCAGGCCTGAGGCTGTGAAGAACGCCTGGGGGCGCGTTCGGGTGCGGCGTGCCTCTTTTGTTGGAGCTCCGACGCGACCACAACGAGCTATTTCGTCTAGTCAGCTCGATTTACTCTTGGAATACTATCGTACTTTCTAGTTGTTCTACCGTGTTCGTGTAAATCTACCCAAATCGCGTGCGATTATCGCCCTCCAAAGCGGTGGAGCCGTTTTATCCTAAATGATGATGCCAGCGATTATCGTAATCCGCTTGCACTTGGAATTAAAAGCGGCCGGATCTGCTATTAAATTCCCTCTTCTCACGTTAATGGCTGGCTGGATATCTGTGGCTCTTTGACGTCGATAAAAACTCTGGGAACGCTTAAGGGCACGAAATATTTGCACTGCACTTTGCTCGTGGCAACTTTCATTTTTCCTCGGCAAAAAAACCAGGGGAACATTGAATCGCTTCACTTCCCACCGCAATATCCCTCATCGCATCACGCATCTGGTTGTGGTCGCGATGATCCCAGATATTCCAATGCAATCTCTCCTCCACTGATTTTACACTGCCTCATATCACAGCTGTTATTTAATCGCTGTTTTTCGTTAAACTTAAACTTTCAGCAATCCCCACCCATTTTCAATTCTTCCACCTGCATTACCCATTCCTTTGTCATCCTCGGGAAGCTCACTTCTTTCGTTGGTACTTCCATTCTTTCGGAACAAGGCGTGCCACCGCAGCAGTCAGTGTGAAATTTCATAGCGTTGTCCTTGCCGCTCATCTTTTTCATAGCGATCAGCTGTTTTGCGGTGGAAAGGTCTGGTCTGTGATGTTGAACGCTCGCAGAGATTTGGATCAGTCGTTGCTCTCCATAGGCCCTAATTGGGAGGTAATTGCCGCGAAACGCGGTCGAACGACCTCGATGGATGGAGGGACGACTGGTTCGTACCGTACGTAATTGAGTGTCGGCGGTAGTGCCAATATGTGGCTGGCTGGCTGGCTGGCTGATTGACTGTGGCCGGGGAGTGGGGGTGGGTGGTCGCTGTATGTCGGTGTGGATTCGGGCCCACGGTTACCCATTGTTCTCCTGCCACGTCCCCGTGGGGTGGGCCAGCCGACCAACCAGCCCGGCCGGCCGCCCGCTATTCATGCACCTGTTCTTCTGCGTCTCTGGTCTTTGTCGAGCTTATTTCCAACAACCTGCCATATGTTATCCATGATATCCATGCAGACTCCGCCCTCGGACGCTGCGTCTCCTCGTCGTGCGTGCTGTCTCGTGCCGTTTTTCGCCGTTTTCCTTGCGTCTCTCGCCTGTCGTGTGCTCTAATCGCGGATGTTTTCAGTCGCACGCACTCTCCGCTCGTCACGCTCCCTCGCCAGCTGCCCATTCATTCCCATCCGCTTCTGATCCAACTGCGGCATGGATGCCAAGGTTCTGAGCCATACCCTCGTCAGTACCGCTACTCCGACTAAGGTAAGTAACGTTCGAAATCGCATCAACAAAGGGTTCAATGCCGGCCATTACGCGGACACTCCGTGGGTGTGAAATTTCCCCCGGCTTGATTTAATCAAATCCAAAGCCGTCGCGAGGGATGTTAAATTGTTTTGGGACCGTTTGACGCCGGCCACTTGAGGCAATCGTCCAATTCTGCTGTAATCTCAAGCCCCGAATAACACTAATGATGCTGCAATCGTAGGAATAACCGAGATGTAACTGGATCAAGCAGATGAATGCCACGAAAACATGATCGTGCAGTATGGCTATTAGTAAAACAATAAGCGGCAGATGGCTGCAGTTATGTATTCAGTGATGGCAATTACAGAGTTATGTGCCGTCCCAACGGTACTGCACAGCGCCAAATGTGGAAATCGGGGAGTCAAAGACAAACCTGATCATCAACTATTTGCCGCAGGGCATGACCCAGGAGGAGGTGCGGTCGTTGTTCTCGAGTGTCGGCGAAATCGAATCGTGTAAACTCGTTCGTGATAAAATGACAGGTGAGCCGTCCAGTTGTTTTTGCTTTCGTACACTTCTTATCCTACTTTTTCAATAGAATTCTTCTCAAAAATTCTTCATCCGTTCGAATGTTCTTTTCATTGACTGAGTCATAAACGCTTTTTTGAGCAATTCCTGTTGTGGTCGAATGAGGCGGTTCTTTAAGTGTCCTCTAGATGGTTTATGGTTTGATGGAGCTTTAGTCTTTGTGAACGAGTGCTCGTTTGCGTTTTGACGTATCTCCCCTCAGGCACATCTCATTACTCAGAAGAACCCTCATTAGTGGCAGTGCTTTTTTTAATCTTTTATGGCGGGCTATTGTTCTGAGGTCGTAATTGAGAAAAATCCACAAAATTAGTTGACATGTGTTTCCATGTATTGTACAGATTCAGGAGATTATTTTGATCTGCTAGGATCCTCATTAAAAAAGAATAAAACGATTCTCCAGGTTCCTTTTTCAAGACATTCATTTCTTCAAATCAAGAACTCAGCCAGCAAATCGCTTGTTCTCTATATCATTTTACAACTTTGTCGCATTTCAACAACTGTGTGAGATGGTGAATGTTTTGCTGGTCTTACAACTCAAATTATTCACTTGTCAGAAATAGGCTTTGCTGTTCGAAGACCCACTCTCATTTTCTGGGTTATATTCGGCGAGTGTGAGAGTTAGCCAAATCCTTCTTCTAATTCCCACATTTTTCTTCCGAAATGAACGTATAGTCAATCTTGGCGTTTCAAAGAGCTTTCTGCTTATGCGATTTCATAGCACCACAGGAGCCAAAAGCGGTGGTTTTGGGAAGGTTAACCGTTTGCTACCATACAAGTTCGTTACGAACCCTTTCTTGAAGTATCATTGGAATTCAAAATTTTTGAAACCCTCAGTGAAGAGTGGGCTCTACGGACGATAGCGTCGTTAGAGCAAATAAATTAGCCATTATCATACTTCTTAAAAACTGTAGTTTTGGAGGATTTTTCTTTTTTATCTTTCCATTATTTGTCCTGCCCTGCTTAATTCGTCGGTTTTCTTATCCTAGTTTGAACACTGTTGGCCGATTTCACGTATCCATGGAATTCGGTCCCATGATTGGCCTTGTATTCTGGCAACTGTTTTGTTCGCCGAGTCGGAACCTACGATTATATAAAATTTCTATCACATTACAGCTAGTTTTTGTTTATACACTCACCATGTCCTTTATCTTCTAATTTGAGTTTTTTTCTAAATATTTCCTGTCTGTTTTCTTCAGAAGTGACCTTCTGACCTAAATAGTTGTATTTCAATGAGTTGTCTTCTACTTTTGAGTGTTTTGGTTGCACTAACGCCCACATTTCAACTCGGCGCTCCGCTTACGAAGCGAATTGTACCACACACACCAACCAACAAACCTCTACACCTACGGATTATTCCGAAGAGAGACTTGCCTTCATTTGCTTTCTGTTTCAGTTTTGAGTTCGGTTCGTGAGCGGTGGGCATTGGCGTGTATTAGTGTCTACGTTCACTGTGTTTCTGGTTGCAGGCCAGAGTCTTGGTTATGGTTTTGTTAACTATTGTCGCGAAGACGACGCCCTCAAGGCCGTCTCCTCCTTCAACGGACTCCGTCTGCAGAACAAAACGATCAAGGTTGTTGCCGTTTACCTCATCTCCTTCTCTTCTTTCACGTTGTGTGCATGCATCCAGCTGTGTAACGCATTGAGCTTGCGCGCTCTCCCATCACATCATTCTTGAGCTTTGAATCGATAACAATGTGTTGTGAAATGTTCGTTGTTTATTATCAGATATATCCTTTAGAGCTAAGTACACGCAGATACCGTGTTTCGGTTCTGTTTTTAGTTGAGCGGTGTCGAGGTCTTGTCAGATTCATTCAGTATGCATTTCCATTTTATTTTTCTGACGGTGTCGCGTGTTGCTCATATACGCTCCCTCCTCATAGTCATACGCTGCATTAGGTTGCAAAGGTCGTCGAACTTTTTCCAAACAGAACAGGAATCGGAGCAATCATCTGTGGTGCTAAGTGAGTTGCGGGGATCATACGGCAGCGCAGCGCGATGGCATTAAGCCTAAGCCTAGAAAGAGGCTCAAATGTGCCAAAAGTTGGATTCTGCGGTATCAAAATCATCCTGTTCACAGCCTACCCATTTATTTTTAGGCTCAGGCTTAGTGAGCAATCGGACTTTCTACGCACATACTCACTGAGAACGTTATTGGTGGCGCCGCCCTTAAACAGCTGGGCTCTAATCAAAAATCTGTACCAACGCGGTCGCATAACTTGGTTTTGATGGCGATTGAAGATCGAGTTATGGATATATCATCTAAAACTTCCGTAACGATTCGGTGTTCTCCATAGAATCTTAGAAAACAGCGAATTCAGCTGGGTCACGTAGCCAAGCAACTTCAAAATGCGGGTGTGAATAAGCCCATATGCAGGGTAGTGAACGTGCGGGTTGTGTGTTATTTACTCTGTATAGGATTACAAACGGCGGCTGTGCATACGGTATGGGCCTAGCGATGTGAAAGCGGCTATTCGTTTCGCAGCAGGACGGGAGTAGCGGGGGGGGGGGGGGGGAACTCTAGCATTGGAGACACGTTAAGCCGAAAATTTCATAGCAGTCCTGAAGGATTTTGTCGTTTTTTAAGGTTTTTTAGTTAATTGTGAATGTAATGGGTGTATTTAATGTGCTCCTCGGAGCAAATGTTTCCACTTTACGAAAGGTGCTCTCCATATCTCGAACGGGGACAGCAAGAACCGCAAGTTACGCCTGCTCATAAAATTGCTGCGCACACATTGTTCAGTTGTTCGAGACTAAGTTCAAAGTTTCAGGCTATCTTCGCTATCAATTCAGCAATATAACTCAGTATTGAAAATATTGAGACATTGTGTCATAATTTTTGTTTGATATTTGCTGTTTCCCTCGATTTTCACAGGTGTGGTTTATGAGCTTTCTGTAGTTTCATGGGGTAATTATGGAGCCCAAAAAGTGCGGATGACGATCAGAACTCAGTTTAAGGGTGGATCTCTTGTCCTCACATTAGCACGTTTTGCTAACATTGGTTTCTCGAGCACTACCAAAATTGGCAGTTATCAAACAAAAGTTATGCTATAAATGATGTGGTCGGCTTCTTTCTTATGGAAAGCGCGAAGGCTATCAGAAAACAGTAAAATGCAATTGAAAAGAAAATCGCATCAGTCAGTCATCCAATGAGCACATAGTGAAGTCGCGCACAGTAGATGATTTTTTCCGCCCGACGTTTTCATGCCCCTTCTTCACATACGTCACGGTAGCCATTTTGAGGAGGGGGAGGGGATGTACTGAAGGGTCAAATTCTAAAGAGTTTGTCAAGGATTTTCTGGGAACTCAATGAATTTTCAAGAAAATAGGGAATCGAAGAAGTACGGATATTTAAAATTCGTTCTCTCTCACACGAGGGAGACAATTTCCTTTGAGTGGTTTAAATATATGATCTTGTGGCTGAAAGGGTCTTAGAAGGGTAGGGCGAAGGAGTTAAGAACGATATTTTTGGCGAAAACATGCTTTTCTAACCATCTGGCTCTACGATGGAATGACCGCATGAATGGTTTCAAAAAACCTCGTCTCATTGCACTGACATCAAAGTGTCTC